GGTAGGACTCCTTGGGCGGGTGATCAGCTCGTCGCAAGGCCTCTACCTGTACACAAACACAGAAAAACGCACACACACAAACTAAACATCCATGCCCTGAGTGGGATTCGAACCCACGATCCCGGTTTCCAAGCGAGCGAAGACAGTACATGCCTTAGACCGCTCGGCTACCGTGACCGGCTATATATATATATATATATAATCTGTAGTACATGGGTGTTTCGTTTGTTGAAATGATTATGAGAATTGTACTGCATTTTCACTCATGTTTCATGTGATTTCAGGGTACTGTGATCATGTCTCGGTCAGTCTAGAGCAGACGGAGCTGGGCTGTACTGGCACACACATGGAGCTAGTCTTTGCTCTGGCAAGGGCCAAATTTAAGTAAAGAATTTCGTTACGAAAATGAGGGGTTCAGCGGTTATCCACGTTGAAAACAATCACGAAGGAATCATTCCTCACACTTCAGATGTAATTGCATTACTTCCGGTCGCTCATCAGGCAGCGGCGGAACCTGAAAGTACATTTCCAAGTTCAGCTCTTGTGCCCCGAACAGCTTCTCCACACCTTTCTCCGAATTTAGAGGATACCAGTCAAGATTCGTTGACATACGGATACTTACATCAGCAGTACATACGAGCGGGTCATCACAAGAGCACAAGTGCTGCCAGGTCGCTGAGGAACTTGGCATGTCGACGAGCGAGGCAGACTGACGTGAATGGCCACAGGCATATGAACTCTGGCTTGGGGCCACAGTTCGGAACAACAGACTTTATGACTGCATTCCGCAGAGGAACTGTACAACCACGGGAGCCGACGGTTATGGTTGAACGCCTTGAAGTAGAAGTACATAGAAATGGTCGAATTGTGCCTACCAGTAATGGAAGTTATCATATCCTGGACACATCTGAGCCTGAGAGCTCATCGGATCTTTCTGCTCATTCGATTTGTGTGGACGATGAAATTGTACATGCATACTGTCCACTGGACCGTGTGAGTGTTGCAGTGAACAGTGTAGGTAGAGGAAGTGAGCTCATAGATGGTGCAATGGAACGTATAAGTAGTGCATGCGATGCAACCAGTTATAGTGACGCTGTGAAGGATTTTGACTGTGTAAGCGATCTTAATGGTGCAAACGTTCCTTTGCAGGTTCAGAAAACTACATCTCGAAGTTATTCTATGAATAACTGTTTAAATAAGTCTACTCACGAGTCCAAAAGTTTCGAAAGAGATCTTGACATTAATGCGGGTGATAATGGTGATGCCGGTCTGAAAAATGTTTCTGCAGATCGCCAGGCCATTCAGAGAGGTGCTAGAGTGTGCTGGCGACCAGTATATGAAGATATAAGTGAGCCTGACAGTGATGTAGATTCTGTAAAGAATACTAGGATTTCGGGGATGGGAAAAGATTGTTTGTTTTTTACACAGCATGTGAACTTTGACTGCAATAGGCCCAGAAACTCTCTCAGTCGACACAGGCACAGCGACCCAACAGATGCAACACAACATAAGGCAAAACCCCTGAACAAAAGACGGTACTCGGACCCTGGGGACTCTGCGAGAAAGAGAAAAGAGAAAGAAGAGAAACAGAAGAAAAGACACAGGAGATGGTCGTTTAACACAGAGTCAGATATGTATCAAACGGATCACGGGGAATCCATGAAGAAACTCTACCTTAATAGACTACTTCTTTCGAAGGATGCGACAATAAAGTCATGGAATATTTGCATTGATATAGCTCATGATGAACACACTACTGAGGAATTTCAGTTTCCGGAGTTTCCTCTTCCCAGAAACAAAGTAGTAAAAGGAGAGAAGGAAGAAAAGGAGGAGAAAGAGGACGCAACCATAATTGAAAGGGACTCATCAGGCATAGTAGATTTTGCCCGTGAATCAAGTTCGGTTAACAAACAAACAAAGTCTTGGTACTGCTCGGGCTCAGAAATTAAGCAGGAAATGAATGTTGAAGATGGAGATAATGTGGCAGAAGAATCCCCTGTCTCCGTTCCCGAAGTTAGGACTCCAGTTCCAGGATCAGCACATAACAAGTGGATGGTTAGGTTTCCCTCAGGCATTCGAAATGAATCCGGGGAACAATATGAGGTTCCATCAGGAACTCGTAAGTCACAATTCAACGAGGCCGGCGTTGGTGGCAAGAGCAGCCCTCGACCTCTTAAAATAATGGAACCCTTAGACTATTCTTCAAATGACACTTCTGTAGCTACAAGGGTTGAAAGAGACAAACGCGTTGAAGATGTGCCATATAATTTAGCTAAAATTATGAAGATACATGGATGTTCTGCATGCATGTATCATCAAAACCCAAATCTTGCATCCAAACAAATCAAAGGGCCCAGAGGACTTCCTGAAAATCTTGAAAGTAATGAGTGTAGGAATATAGATTCAGATATGACAAGACACAGGTCTTCTCCAGAATGTGCTTCAGGTGAGAATCCTGACAGCACTCCAAAAAACGACAAGAAAAATAATCGGACTGCAGACTCACTTCTTCCTAAAAATGAAGACGTGAACTCTGCATCTAGCACGTGTGCCCAAACTGAAAAAGCTGTATCTCTTAACAATTTTGACTGTAATCGAAATTCTGAAGAACGGGGTTGTCGTTTGCATAAAGAAGAATGTTGTAAGTCGCAGATTTCTAAAGAAGCATTTTTTAGAAACTTGGGAAGTCATCCACCGACTGCATCATTAAATACGTCTGCTCAGGAAGATGTTACTACGGAACAAAGAATTTCCAAAAGCTCTGCAAACACCAGTAACACAAGGTCACACAGAGAGCCAATAAACGATCGCGAAGTAAAGGAGAGCGAAAATTACGTCAACGATCTGGACAAAGAACATTCGATATGCAAAAACAACGTAGAGCAGACAGACAGGAAGCATGGCGCTTGTTCGGAGATCGAAAGTGCAGCCGAGGATGTGAAAGATGGCGGCGAATCTCGCGAATCTCGCGAATCGACCAGTGGAAGGAGGTGCTCATCACCGCCAAAAATAGCAAAGAATAAGAGAAGGAAAGCAAGATTCGTTAGCACTGAGAGACTGCAACATAGATCGAACAAGGAGCCATCCGGCAACAATTCCATAACTCGTAAAAAGTCACGTGGACCCAGAAAGCCGCGTTTCTCTCGTAGAAACTTTCGTCATGATAGCATTCAAATGTTTAAAGCATCAACAGCTTTCCCACCCCATAATACTCTTGTACCGTGGCGTTACAAGTGTAATAAGCCAGAATTTCTTGATCCCCTTAACAGTGATTCTATCAATCTGCCCTCACCAGTTTTAAAACCTATTGCCACTGAAACACAATTTGATGGCCGTGTTACCAACATCGAAATTCAAGACGATATTCCAAGCCCTGCAAGTTTGACTATCGACTTAGAGGAGCAAAATACGAATGTATCGGAAACGTCCAATTTAGACGAAGATGAAAGAAGCAGGAGAAAAAGCAACAGTGACGCCATTGGTGCGGATGGAGACCCAGTCACTTCTCTCACTCTTGGGAGAAGGATGTCCTGCGAAGAGGGTTTGCCCGCGCTGGGCGAGAAACTATCCCAGGCCGCATCACCAGAGAATCAGAGCGGAGGCATAGACAGCGAGTCCAGTGACGAAGGACAGAGCAAAAAGAGACGGAAGAGAGTGAAGAAAAAGAAATCAGGTACGATATTTCAGTCCTTTTTTTATGATCTAGTTGCATGAATAGGGCTGTAGCCGTCTATATGCATATCTGTACTGACAGTCCGTTGGGAACACAGATCGGTTTGTATTGCGCTGTCTTCATTAGTGCTTCTTAATCTTTCCCACTTGACGGCACCTTAAAATAGGTCTGAGCTTTAATGTCTCACGGTACACAGATATATATGTTATTGTACGTAACTTCGTGTGTGTATGTTGATGTGTGTGTAAACTGTTCATTTTCTGTTTAATGAATTATGTTGTATATGTACGTAATATGCAGTACAATGTAACTAAAATGTGAGTTAAGATTAATATTAACAAATGTAAGTAAATGTTAAAAATTTTGCAGCTGCAAAACCGAAACGAGTAATTATAAAAACTTGTAGTCACTGATCGTCAGCTTAAACGCCAACATCGTGATATTAATGAAAGCAGTAGTCCACAAGAAGATACTTTAACCAAGAAATCGGCCGACAAGATCACAGAACAAGTCTGAGTAATGCCTCACAATTTGGGAATTTTGTTAAATTCATAGACAAGGATTGGAATTCAGAATATCAAGACACATCTAATGATTATAAAATGAATTGACAACACCGTCCATTGTGACTCAGTATATTGTACATGGATGCCTCTACATGTTTCGGTCAGTTGTGATCGTCTTAAGAAGGCAATAACAACATGCTAAGGAAACACAAATACATAGCTCGTAGTACACATGCTTAAAATTTTGTATAAATATTTTCAATTATTGATGTTAAAAAGGAGCTTAAGTTAAAAATTATTATTTGTGTTTTTAATATTTAAAATCTTGAACCTCTGAGGTTTGTGTCTCCGTGCCTCTTGTATCAAAACGGGAGATTGGTATGTTATTTGCCTTCCTCTGACGTCTGAACAGCGTTTTTTCCCCATATTTTATATGATTCATTAAGGATCTATGCTGTTAAGTTGCTTCTCCTATCGTTGCGTATTGAGGTCTCAGTACACGTTCCAACGTACAGCAATGGAATACATGTTTCAGTGGCTGAATGTAATAGCTCGTTGCTAAGCAGCAGTCAGCGGCCCAATGAACTCGCTGGCTAGGAATCACGCGACTTTGTTTACCTTGTTGTCCGTGAGTAGCCTATATAACGAAGACCTGTTGTATCTTAGATTAGTTTATAGTGTAGAGTGCAGTGTAATGTAGTTAAGGAGTGCAGAAGAGTTTTTAGTTGTTACGAGGTTCCAGGGTGATTGAACAACAAATGGCAAGAAGATTTCATAGTGACTTGAAGTGCTAGTTTCTGTGTTGAGACCCGTTGCTAGGAGACGACTAGTGGAAACTGAGAATCCTAGTGCGTGTGCAACGGTGGACTGTAAATTGTGTAAACCAGCCTAGGGCAGGATATCGACTCATTGCTTTGCCTCTCCTTACACAGGCCGTCACAACTTCAGTGCTTATCTTAAACCTTACAATTTCTGATGTTTATATTTCTAGTTCATAGCACAAAGAACATAAAGAAAACGCTTAATGCGGAGGTCATGTCTCCGTCCACAAGCTTCAATTCTGATACTATTCGACGGATTTCTATTATATTTTGCAGTTTGGGTCTACACGAAATGTTGGTGGGAGAATTTAATTTTGGTTCGCATGTATCCAGCATAGGTCAGCCACCTACTTGACGTAAAGAGCAAGTCGGAGTTTATCGGTCTTCTGTCCCTCTTCAAAATGGCCTATCGTAGAGAAACTGGTTCACGCCTTAAAATGTAGGATTCATCCGGAAATATGGACTAGCTCTATCTATTTGACCCAACTGAGTAGGTTTTACCTGAGGACGGGGACACAATCCAGTGTCCGAAACGCTGTTTTTTTTTAAATGAACCGGACGGTTTTTAGAAAATAGACAGGACGAAGGATAATGTCCAGAAACATAATACTTATAGCAATGTACCATCGTCACAGAATTTTAGATCAAATAAGTAAATAAATAAACAAAGGAACAAGTAAATAAATATGTCGATGGTGTTTAACTTATTAACAAAGAGAAATAGCGTTTATAGTCTCTGCTCTTGACCCAGTTATATTAGAGCTTTTAAATCACGAACGAATGATGATGCGATAATTAGGACATGTGGTTCTTTATGCTTTTATGAAATTTTTGTTCCTATTGCTTTCGTGTTTGTTCATATAGGCTTCTGTATGGATACTTGGATCCGAAGTTGTGATTCCGCTCGAGCAGTGAAACCGTGCGTCTGCCACCGCACGGTGGATGAAGCCGATGTATCCTGACGCGGTGACAGTGAGAAGTCCTTTCATTTTAAGGGTACAGAAACGGAATGAGGATGTAACGTCCTTATTATACAGTGTGGATAGGCTGTAGGTGTAACAAGAAGGAGAATTTGCAACACTTCACAGAACGTGCGATTAGACATTACCAGAATGTACGTAATAATTAGGCACCTATTCTACTGGCGCTGCTTTCACCATGATTTCATAACATAATGCGTTGTTAGCCCCACGCTCAATCCCAAGCCTGGACGACGAGGAACTACATTTCGTCTGGTGCCTACCCCTTGACCTGTCTGGTATGGGTGACTACCAGGAGCATACACTCCCGCCAGCACAACTCTCCGGGTCACTGGGAGCGCACAAACCACGTCTCCACGATAAGGCAATAGTCCTCGAGGGGAAATTCGATTTATACTTTGTGGATTTATAGTCGTAAAGATTCCTTACTCATGTTATTTCGATTATATTGTGGATCCCGTTGTTTAGTTACATATTCTGTCAAAGTTAAAATTGTGGGATGTAAGCGTATTGTGCCATTCATACATAAGCCCTTACGTATATGCACAGTATTCTGTTTTTCTGCATATTTCGACCCCTGAAGGCCGTCGTTATATTTCAGTAAATCTACCGTTATATATTTGTCATCGCTTTCTTTTTTGTTCAGCTTGTGTACACACAGTTTCTCTTTACGCGTAAGCACCAAAAATATTTAACGAGTTTCGTAATGCCGCCTCACATTACAGGGCTGCTTTTTCGAACATGCAACAGCTTTACGGCACGTTAGACACACGTTCGTCTTCTGAAGTTCCCAACGGAAGAAGTAAGCTCAGACTTTCTGTTCTTCTCCCGGTTTGCATTTACATTATGAAAAGCGAAATGTGAAAATACTGAACATCCAAGGCTTCAGAATTGGTCTAAATCAGCATTAAATCAGATATGGAAAATCATAACCATAAAATACGCTCAATAAACCAATTTGTTTTGCGCTTATTTCGCTATGTGACATATTAACCCTTACACTCATAATAATAATAATAATAATAATAATAATAATAATAATAATAATAATAATAAT